GATGCGTGTGCGTGTGCGTGTGTATGTGCGTGTCTGTGAAAAATGAATAGAATAAATTGTACAGAAAATACTCGGAATGAAGTTGATAACTTATTGGAACATCCCGAAACGATCAATTTTCCCATTAATTACTCAAACTTTACCCCGATCATCTATTGTACAGTATTTGTTTAGCTATTTAGCACTTCAAACGTATACTTATACACATACATATACATAACCATGAACATATATATATATATATATGTGTGTGTGTGGTTGCAAATACAAATACAAATACAAATACATATAAACATTCATACATATATATATTGAATATATATTTTAATATACACTACTAAATTCCGAGTGTATATAGGTATATACATATATTACACCACTTCTCAATCGTTGCAGGCTATGTGTGTATAGAGATTACCTATACACAGGAAACCGACACTACAAGGATAGACCATAGTTTAGTGGAAAACAAGTAGACACCATGTTCGCTAGATATAACAAATGACCATATTGTTGTACTGTGGCGACACTTCGATCGCAAGAGTTGTCGTATACACCTTTGTCGTAGACCGCAACACAAACTTGTACATGTCAACGACAATGCCGCATCTCATATTGAATTGGTCAGAGGAATACGCTTTGGATACAAACTCTGGCGCATTTGTGTATACACAAACACTGTGACATAGACAGATGAACTTCAGTTGAAGCTCAAGGGATAGGTAGAGCTTTTAAAAATCTCGGTGCAAATGGTAATCGAACAATACACAAATGTATTCCACAGTGATGCAATACCGCCTATAAACAGCAAACAGTACACGCACTGACCATTCCTTGGTGAAATTGCACTTGTAACAGCTGACCGATGGATACACATACTACACTGCACCGAGGAGTTTATAACTTCGATACGCTCGATACGGATATAGAGGTTTGTACCAGGTGGATTCGGACGTGTTGTAAGACCACACAGTGTATTTCCAGTGCGCATGCACGGACGAAATAAGCACTATATACATACCATATAATACGTATCATATTATACATACATATGATACATATCATATTCTAAATATCATATGCTACATAATATATATATATATATATATGTATATATATCTATATATATATATATATATATATATCACATATATATAATATATATATAGTAAGGTAGTAGT